ATTCCTGCTCATAAATGCCTTCTTCAGGAAGTGCAAAGGAAGGAAAAAAAGAAATGGAAATTCATGTTTTACTTAACCACATCTTCAGAACTCAACACAGAGAAATGTAGCCCCTCACCTGTTTTTGCAGGCCAGAAAGCTGGTAGCTGAGAGACTCTATCCTCATGCGAGCCTCCTTAAGCTCCTCTCGGGCAGCACCGGCAGCTTTATCATTTTGATCAGAGGAGATTTTGGCATTTTCCAGCTGGAAGAGAGTTTTACACAGATTAGTCATAAAACTTGCCACCTCAGGAAAATACTCTCCAAACAAGAGTACTCAGGGCTTAAAACAACTAATTTAAAGGAGGACTGTACTACATTTATGAACCAAATTATATGATGTGGCTGTCATTGGTATCAAGGGACTGAACTCAACCCAGGAGGTCCCTTTCAGTTTACACACTATGTTCCTACATTTATAGTTTCATTTTCAAAACCTGATTGTGCTAATAGAGCAGATGTCCTTAAGCTTTTCTATTATGCAATCTGATTTCTAACATCATTAGAAATTAATGAGCCTCCCTCCATCTAAACAAACGATTTAAAAAGGAATTTTAAATAAGTTAGATTGGAAATTAAATGCTTTCGGTAAACTTCCTGCAAAGCTTGACTGTCAAACTATTCCATTTATAAGGAGGTTAGTTTAATGGTAGGTAGGACTTAAAGAGAAAAAAAAAAAGGCTTAATTCCCACCATTATTCTTAACAGGAACAGAATCTGGAGGGACGGGTGGGGGGGCAAGAACCATGTGGTTAAATGCCATATATATTGCCCATTCTTTTACCCCACCATAACCACACGACATTAACCATAGCTGAGGGATTTTCCCGTCTCCTCCCTCAATTATTTGCCTATTGCAAAGTTACTCTCTTGTTACATCAGTAACTATACTGTGGTAGCATCTACAATCAGGTACGATACTGTGAAAAAAAAACCCATGTCATGAAAGAATTAAATCTTTTAAGCAACAAACAGAAAACAGAGTGTAAAAGATGCATGCTTACGTTAGGTTCCTAAACACACAAAAAACATTCTTCTAGCACACCCATCAGCACAAGCAGCAAACCTAAGCAACCACCTTAGGAAAAAAGCGAACTGACTCCAGGTTCATCTAAGTCATCATCCTGTCTTCAACGCTAACCAATACAAGAGGTTTCAAAGAAAGATTTAAGAAATCTATAAACAGGCAGATGATCCAACCTGCACATTATGTCTCATTCTGACTGTTAATGGTTCAAAAGTAGCATAACCTCTGAAGCGCAAATTTTCAACTACCTTCTAAAATTTTTCAGGAGTTTGTTAGTAATATACATTTCCAATAATTTTCTGAAATCTTAGCAAATTCCTGACCTTAATTTCTTTTTGTATAATTGTATTAGAAACCATTGTACATTACATGAGAACGTTTGTTTTTTAAGTTCAAATATGATTAATTCCTTTTGCTCTTATGAGCAGAGAGTGGTAGTTGGCCACATTAGCCTGAAGTCAGGCAGAGGTGCATAAGCTTTCATGAGCAAGAGCTCACTTCATCAGATGCTATGAAAGGACATGCAAGATCAGGCTATCAAATACAGATATTTGAGAGCCTGTTCTGTGCATGTCCTTTCATAGCATCTGATCAAGAGCGCCCTTGATCACAAGAGCTTATATATCTCTGATTCAGTTAATCTATAAAGTGCCTCTCTACCCTGCCTTCTGGTCTTGCTGTTAATTAACAGGAAGGACAGAAGCTTCATATCCACCACCTGAAGACCACTAGTTATTTTATATGCTTTTATCATCTACCCTTTTACTTGACACTTTCTGGCATAAAAAAAAATTCCAATCTTTATTAACAGGAGTTACTTACTCGTCTACCATGCACACCTTTCCCCACAAAAATCAGCCCTCCAAAACTGGGGTGCACCTGAAGTAGGGCAACTAGTTTTCTTTGTTGAAATAGAAGCATGAAAATGCTGTGTTGCAAAATGGCTGCCAGTTGCCCTCAGCAAGCAAACAAGAGGGGCAGAGTCCACTGGTAATCCTTTTTACAGCTTCACAAGGCACTTAAGCCTCAAATGCTGAGTTAAAGAGGATGCACTAAGGAAAGGAATTGGGGCAGTACTCAGGGAAGGGGTAGATCAGGGGCTGGCTTTCTTGACGGTTTGGCCCCATGGGAGCTGAAGCTGCAAGTGTAGATGCTGCAAAATTAAGTACAGGCAGCCCTTGGACTTACGACACGACGCCGTTTTCGGGAACCAATTAAGTCGAAATGTTGTAACTTGGAACCAATTTTCCCACAGGAACCAGTGTTATAAATAGGGGATTGGTTCCTGAACCAAGGCCTGATACCCTGTTTTCACCAAAAATAACCCAGAATTTTGTACTCAATCAATTATAGATGAGTAATATAGCTACATTAACATATTTATGTTGTAAATAGCAATCATATTGATTTAGAAGGACTTCTTTGAGGTGACATTGCTGGACTTTTTGAAGGCTTCTTGGCTGGATTCTTCCAAGGAGTTTTGGCTGAAGGTTTTTCTGGAGTCTTGTCTGCTTTCTTAAGGAAAGTGTCCAAGGACGTTTGGACAAACGTTCTCCAGGGAGATGGGTGACAGCCACTTGTTTGCTGGCATGGCATCACATCAGATCAAGCATTGTGAAGTTGAAACTGATGTCAGAAAATTGAAACAGGGTGTCAATTTAGAAATGTTGTAAGTGCGAAATGTAAATCGAGGACTGCCTGTATTGCCACACCCCAGTGGCAGTGGGATTTCGCAGTATTAGGCAATGGCTGATTATTAGACTGGCACCATCTCATGCTTCGGACTTAGCACATTTACTCAAATTTACCCCCTGAATATAAGACAACCCCCCAATACATCGTATAATAATTTAGTATAATAATTCTATACATCAAATATTTTCTCTCTCCCTTTCTATATCTATATATGTATATATTTTATACAAATTCTACATATTAAATATAATTCTGTATATCAAATTCTGTACATCAAATATATATCTATATATTATACTTTAGTATAACAACTCTATACATCAAATATATAATATCTCTCTTTCATTAACCACAGGACGTGACAAAGAAGAGCAGGGTCTGACACTAAGGGGAGAGGGGGAAGGGGCTGCCATGGGAAAAGTTAGAGGGAAGCAGAGACAAAGAGGCTTCCTGTCCCCCGACATTTTTTTCCCTGCGGTAGCAGTGGAAGGGGGACAAATTCAAGGCAAACTTCCAATAATTCGTTTCTATGTCTGGAAAATTATAACAATTTCATAAATTTTCCATATATAGAATCTAATTATGGGGGGGATCTCGTTCAGTGGTTCATCTTAAGACAACCCCCCCCATATTTAGACTCTATACAAAGAAAATAAGGCTGTCAGTTAATCGTGGTTAACTTACACGATTAAGACAAAAACAAATTAACACATTAATTTTTTAATTGCATTAATAATACATGTTGCTTTGACCAGCCCCAGACTCACCCTCCCATGCTGAGGAGCAGCAACAGCCGAGCAAAAGCTGCTACTTGGCACCGGGGGGAAAAAGCGGCCCCTCTCCCTCACCGCAGCCAGGCCCTTCTTGCTGCAGCCCCCCAGACCCCATGCCCAGGCTGCCCTGTGGCTCCTTTCTGCTGTCATCAGTGTTGCCTCTGGGTCAGCCAGCAGGGCAGAAGTGGCAGTGCAGAGGAACGGCAAGGCAGCCCAGGTGCGGGCTCCAGGAGCCTGCAGCAAGAAGGGCGCGGCAGCAGTGAGGGGAAAGGGCTGCTTTTCCTCTATGCTAAGCAGCAGCTTCTGCCCAGACGCTACTGCTGCTCAGTATGTGCAGGTGAGTTTGGAGCAGGCGCAGGGCAGGCCAGGGTCAGGGCTAGGGATGTGTGCGCTGTTCATTAGGGCTGTGGGAAGTTTCAGGTGCCGATTCAATTTGGAGCTCAATTTGTTGGCCGAATCTCTGAATCCAAATCAAATCAGGGGACCAATTAAAAGGTCCGAATTGATTTGAAGCTCTCCAAATCGATTCAGAAAAGATTTGGAGAGCTTTGGTGATTCCGACAGTCCGGGAGCTTCAGTGATTTGCTGGATGGAGCAGGGAGCTGGATCCGGACTCCATGGTGGTAAGGATGGACCAGGGCGGGGGGGAAGGAGGAGAAGACCATGGGGGGGATCCCTGCCAGGCCCCAACCCCGGCCTACTCCAAACTGATTTGGCAGAATCTGATTCACTTTTGGATAAAAGGCTCTGCTGGCTGCAAAAAGGGTAGTGTATAAACTGTTGAAAAACTGCACTCAGAAAGCAGTTATGATGTGTTTTGTCAAATTGGCAAGGTATTTCAAATGAAGCTCTCGGAGTCTGTCCCAGGACAGTTCCATTCAATGTTTTTGTTAATGAACTAGATGATGAAATAAGAGTCTACACTTTTAAAACATGTGGATAACACAAGGATTGCAAACCCTCTAGAGGAAAGAACTAGAATTAAAAAAATGATCAACTGTAGAATGCCTAAAACCAGTAAAATGATATTCAATAAGTGCAAAGTACTACCAGTCAGGAAGGAAAAAAGTTACATGTACAAATACAAAATGGAAGTCTATCTGCTAGGCAGCATGAGTACAAGAAAGATGTAAGAGCTAAAGTATATATCACACAAGCTAAATATGTATCCACTGTGTAATGTCTGTTTTCCAACAGCAAGTGGCATTCTGAGATCTATTAACAGGAGGGCTGTATGTAATTAATGAAAATTAATTATTCTACTCTACTCATCATTTTTTAGCCCCAACCTATCCAGTTTTAGGCACCATTCTTTTCTGTAAAAAAGTGATGTATATAAACTAGAAGAATCTGAAGAATCTAAAAGAAGAGCAACAAGAATGACAAGTCCTGATTTATGAGGAAAGGCTAACATCTATGAAAATTAACGACTGACCTAATCTTCCAAACCAAACACACGATTGCTTTAAAAAAAAAAAATTAAAAAATCAATTATGTTCTGTGTCTGTCCTTGGGGGTAGTTCCAGAATTAAGCTAGAAGCTGAAACTGTTCTTACTACTAAAGATCCTATTATCACTCAGCCCAGCTCCAATGTCATCTACACTAACAACTTCACCTCAATAGAAAGGTAGACTGTTCTCTGACATGACAGAACTGTACCTGCAGAATTTGGAATGGACTTTCAAGCACAGCTTGTTCCACCATCTGTCCAGATCTTCATTTTTCCATTCCACTAAGCCCTATCTTGTAGAAAGACCATTTTATGAAGTTTAATATGCTCATTTTCTTTGGGTACTGGTTTGGCCAGAATACAGTATAATGTTGGACTTGGACTCCGAGGAGTCTGAAAAACTCCTGTTGTATCAAATCCTCTGACAGAAACCATGTAGCAGAAACATGCTTTGCTATTCCTATCAGATTTGACATCATTCAAGAATGTTAACTCTTAAAAACTTGAACATGTCTACATAATTGCTGTCTATGGAAATAGCCTAATTTTCTAGATACTGTTAATTGTTGCTGTGTTTAAATTTTCAGGAGTCTACAATGCCATGTTTTTAATTGAAAATTGCTCCAAAAAAAGGCACTTGGCTCTTGCGTGAAGGCCACCACTTCTTATAAGCAGGGATCCGGATTTTCCGTTTCCCATGGAAAAACGGAGAAAACCACAAATTTCCTATTTGAATTGGAGAAAACACGGATTGCCCCTTTTAGCAGGGAAACCCACGGATTTCCCCCTTTTGCAAAGAGCTCTGCAGGCTGGCTGAGTTCCAGCCTGCAAGTGCTGTTTGCAAAAGGGGCAGGAAAGCTGCCATGTGTGAGCTCCCCCTCCTCACAAGCCAGGCAACACGTGTGGCCTTCAGAGGGGCACTGCTGCTCTCGCCCCCCTGGCCCTGCTCCTGGGAGTGGGCACAGAGTGAGCTGAGGTGGGAGGCTGGCAGTGCCCCTCGCCACTGCGCCCTGGGGCGCTCTCTCCCTGCCTGCCCACCCGCCTGTCTGGGCTGAGGGAGGGGAAAGTGTTGGGAAAAACCCCACCAGGAGTGCCTGCCAGCAGGCAGGCACTCCGTGTCTTTCCCCAACACATCCTTGCTCCCTCAGCCCCCAACCAGCTTCCCCCCAAGCAGCAGTAGTGTGGTGGTGGCTGCTGCGTGTGAGCTTCTCCCCTCCCCAGCCAGATGATGTGTGGCCCAGGGAGGGGCACGGCTGCCCTTGCCCTCCCCCAACTCCTGGGAGCAGGCACAGAGATGCACTCCTCCCCCATTCTCGATCTGCACTCCCCAGCCCCTTCCTTCCCACACACACCTACCTGCTGGGGGTAGTGGCTGGGGGGCACGAGCAGGACTGGGGAGGCTGTGGGAAGGCGGCGGGGGGGGAAGAGTAAGGGGCACTAGCAGGGCCGTGGGGGGCTTGTAATTTTTATCACGGATTTTGGATTTTTTAATCAGAGAACCTGTGATTTTTTTTAATCAGGGAAAACCAGGATCCCTGCTTATAAGACCCTATTGGAATTAAGTAAACTTTTAACCCTGAGTAACTCATAGAAGTCAAATATGCTTAGATTCTTTATAAAACATTAAATAAATTAGGAAAGTGTTAAGTGGACATTAAAAAGAAAAATCCTAGTGAGACCGTAACTTTGGAGCCACTCTCAATGCTTCTGTTTTAGTGATATCTCAGTAGGGCACAAATATGCTTTTTCTATACCGTGATGCATCCAACACACTGTAGGATGCTCCAAGATCACATTAGTTACCTTAGCCTGATAGGTTTGCTCCAGCTCCATTTTGTACAATTTGACCTGTTCATCATGTTGATTGCGCAGATCCTCCAGGGCTTGAGCCATTTTGGATTCATACTCTCGTTGACGACTAGAGTCTACCTCAACCAAACGGTGCTCATGCCGCTTTCTTGTCTCTCTCACCTCCTACATAAAGAAAAAATGAAGATACAGGATCAAATTAGAGTAAGCACAATGAGTTTTGTTTATGCTGGAGAGAATTGTTTCCATGATACTTTGGTTCCCAAGCACTGAAGTCATTTAATGAAGTCCAATGCTATAAAGACTCCAAAACTAGTAACGTGCACTACAAGCTAATTGTAAATGTGTTTAAACATGAACTAACTTCATTAAAAATACAAAGAGAAGTTAAAAATATGGGGAATAAAGGGCTGATGTGTTTTTCATTAACAAACGAGAAACCCACTACAAAAACTACTATGAACAAAGGCTATATAAGCTCCACATTAATATTATTAATAATTACAGGTTGACAATACCTCCTCAAATACATTCTTCCTGAAATCTAGGTCCTCTTGTAGACTCTGGCAACGATTCTCCAAGTCTACCCGCATCAGTGTTTCCTTCTCCAATTGCTTCTTAGCCACAGCATGGCCATCTTCCGCCTAGTAGAGAGTTCAGAATCCAAAAGATAAGTCATCTTTACTGTCTACTTACAAAATATTTCACAATTCCCTCTTCCCCGAAAGAACAGGCATAACATTTTACACAATTTTCAGGTGTCTTCCATAACCAGTTCTGTGTCAATCAAAACAGTAAGCAACCTTTAATGAATTTAACCTTATATACATTGTGCCTTCCTATAATGTAGCCACGCACTTATGCTAAGGCCTCGACAAAAACACTCTCAGACAACTCTGTTGCTATTTATAAAGAAGGACCAGAGAACACGAGTGCTACTTAACTTTTAGGATATGGGCAGGAAAAACAAGAATAGTAACTGAAAGAAGAGCAGGGGGAGTATCATAAAATCATAGAGAAGTAGGGCTGGAAGGGACCTCCATAGGTCATCCAGTCCAACCTCTGCCTAAGGCAGGATCATCCATATCCAAACCATCCTATACAAATCCACAGTCTAACCTCAGCAAAACTACACAGTTAAAACACAAGACATAACAGCCTAACCTGCCCCAGGTAAAGCAGAGAGACCATGGCAGCCAATGTCTTGCAGCTGCAAAGGTTGTTAATATATGCCCAAGAAGATCCTAGGAAGAGGGCAACACCCCCACTACAGAAGGCAAAAACCCCTACAATCAATGCCAGTCTGACCACAGTATAAAATTCCTTCCTGACCCCCAGTATGGCAATTAGTCTGACCCCGAGTGGAAGGACAAGATCCTCTAGCCATGAACCTCTAGATTTCAATCCCAGCAGGAGCACCTCGGTCAACATCTCCAACCTTGGCTGCAGCCAACACCCAACATTTCTGGGGAAGGCTTTGAAAAATAACAAAAAAACCCAAACAAGCAAAAACAAAATCTGACACCTAGCAGCAAGGGGGTGGAAAAATTCCTCCACTTTCCCCCCTGCCCCCCCAGCCTCATGCAGCAACCACCAAAGCCCAGAAGCATAGGAAATACCTACATTAGAACAGAGGTATGGCTACATCTAGATCATCCCTGACCAATGTCTGTCCAGTCTCCTCTTGAACACCTCCAATGCTAGAGATTCAACAACTTCCCTAAGCAGTCTACTCCACTTATTATATTGCAACCTGTTTTGTGCATCCACTTTGTATTCCAGTAAGTGGAAACTAAACAATAATAATTTAGGAGCCGTTTCATTCCAATGTAAGCTGCTTCATTTTAGCTTTTGTTTGTTCTTCTATCCTGCAGTAAATAAAAACAGTTAAAGTGGAACAGCCTGAAAGATGTCATTCCCCTACACCTACCTGTTTTAAATCAGTACAACCATTTTACCTGTTTATATCAGTGGTTCTCAACT